TGGTTCAAAATAATTTTACTACTAAACACAAATACTACAAAGAAAATTATTGATACATATTTAATAAATTAAATTGTTGCATTTTGTATTTAAAATAAATGAATTATAACAAGTACAAAGACATTTTAAAAAATTAATAAATATAAAATAAATTTTCTTTCATTTAAATAAAAAAACTAAATTAAATTTAAAATGCTGACTCCTCTGGCCAGAAATTCCTCCTGACTCCAACTCCACAGTCCTGGAGTAAACACAACTTTCAGTTATCCTGGTTTGAGTTAATCATGTTCTACTGTATATATATATATTATATATACAGTTGGACCTCGGAGTCTGAGTCAGGAGGAATTTCTGGCCAGAGGAGTCGGCATTTTAAATTTAAGTTAGTTTTTTTATTTAAATGAAAGAAAATTTATTTTATTTTAAATATCAGAATGGTGCTTGTTGTGTTCAATTTGTGCACACAAGATATATATCTTGTGTGCACAAATTGAACACAACAAGCATCATTCTGATATTTCATTTCTTTTTGCTTTGCAAAATATCAAACCATCAGTTTTTAGTTTGGTTTGTTATTCATCCATCCATAGACCTCATTCATCACTGGGTATTATGGAATTAAAAAAGGTTGCATTACCATTTTCCATTTTGATAAAGTTTTGTAACACACACACACACACACACACACCTTTTTGTTTCGGTGTGAAAAAAGTATAGCACAAATTATAATATCATAGTTGCATAATAAAAAGGTAACAGAAACGAATCACTTTTTAAAAAACTGTAAAGACTTTGATATACATGTTATTTTAGAGATTTTGTTTTATAGCAAGTCTTCCCTTTGCTGTAGTGTTCTGCAGTTCTTCGTGTGTGTGTGTGTATACACTATTGATAATATATATAATCATATCAATAGTATATATATATGTTACCAGCCAAACTAGTTTATCCTACCTGTATCAGGATATACTAGTTTAGCCTAGGACAATCTAGTTTGGCCTAAATACTTTAGGCTTAACTAATTTGTCCTAGGCTGAACTGATTTAGAATTATTATTTAAGTCAGGTCTGGCCAACCCAAATTGTTTTGCGGGCCACTCTGATCATGCATAACTTTTTGGTGGGCCACAATTTAGGCAAACATGCTTTTAAAAAGTAAAACAAATTCAAAATGAATATGATTTTATTGTTATACCAAGAGTTTGTATCGCACTTGTGCATTATAACAATGACACATGCAAATTTTCATTTATTTAATTGTTTTGGTATACACATAACGGGAAACAAAAATTTTAATAGATATATAATATTGCTTAGTGGGCCACACAATTTAACGTGACAGGTTGCGGGTTGACCAGGCCTGATTTAAGTATATTAATGGTTAAAATAAAATTAAAAGGCAATCAATTAGATGAACAATATTTATTCAAACATAGTCTACTTAATTATAAAAAATGGTATTGATTAGAAGTGACACAACCCTTGTATAAAACTATAAAATAAAAATAAGCTAATCAGTACTTATCAGTTAGTATTTTTTTTATTAAACCATGCACCTATAAAGGTAATTAACTTTCGATAATATTTTCAAAAATTCAAACGAAATAATAATAATAAATTTTAAAGTCAAACTAAAATTAAAAATGAACTTGTTTGTGTTTCTTAGTGTAACATATAAAATATTTAATCTTTTATTTATTTTTACAGGGTGGGTTAAAGTGTTTTTTTATAGTAATTTTATAGTCATTTTTTTTTATAGGTAACCCCAATGGCGGAACTTTGGACTGTTCATGCTCCCGGAAGGGAGACGCCAGCAGGCCATCCATTGTTTAACATCACTAGTTATTGATTCACTGTAGTTCTTGAACAAAAGAAAAAAAAAGGAAATGTCTACTAAAAATGTAGTTAATCTAACCAAACCAACTTAACCGAAGCACCGACATTGGGGTTACCTAGGTACACTTTAACCACTGGGTGTACTGTGGTAGCATTTTGAATTACACAAAATAATTTTTTTTTACACTAGCACCTATTTGTAGTACATAAATCAGTTCGGCCTAGGTCAAACTTGTTAAGCCTAAAGTATTTAGGCCAAACTAGATTATCCTAGGCTAAACTAGTATATCCTGATACATGTAGGACAAACTAGTTTGGCCTGAAATTGGGTTTGGCTGGTAACTTATATATATAATGGTATTAAAAAAGAATTGTTAAACATTAAATAAATATATATACAGTGGTGCCTTGTATAACGTACTTAATCCGTTCCTGGTGCACGTACGTTAAGTGAAAAGTCCGTTATGTGAAACGTATTTTTCCATAGAAATACATGTTAAAACATATAATTTGTTCTGCAGCATAAAATAACCATACTATACCATTAAAAAAATGAAAGTGGAGCAGTCACCAATTATGCCGGTAGTCAGATGTTGTGAGGAGGGCATGGAGGAACATGTTCTTCACACATTCATACAGATACAGACTTTTTACACATTGCAGCGGGTCTCTTTTTATTGTTTTTTAATCGGAGTCAGATTCAGGAGAGGCTACCAGAGCTTGCAGCATCAACTCCTCTTGTTCCATCCTTTATTTTTTGGCAGCTGGCTTCTTGAAAAACATGTCCAAGGTGGTGTGTTTCTCTCTCTTCTTCAACACCTGTCGGAAATGACGGACAAAGGTGTCATTGTAGAGATCATTGATCCTATTGGCCTCAGCTCTGTTTGGATAATGAGTGTTGGTAAACTCCTGAACCTCTCCCCATTNCTGATTAGTTTCTCTTCTATGCAGACTTTTTGTTGTTTTGTGAACGGTATACGATCCGAACCGAAAGTTGATTTACTTAAGTAATAATTATATCAGTCGGTTGTAAAAAGAAAAATTTCCTTTACTAATTTAGGAATTAATACTTCGCGGAAATAGACCGTTTTAAAGGGTTAGTGTTGGCAAGCAATCAACCATTCTATTGTCCAATGGAGGTAGGAAGTTATGACTGCTCTATGCGCTTCTATCTGTAACAAAAGAGTAAACTCCGAAACGGAACAGTTCTTATATGATATAGGTTAGTTATACCGATAACAGGATCTTTTTTCCTGCTTGTATTGTTTCGCCTATCGCTTAACATCGATTATTATTTGTAACAGATGAATCCGAATCGAAAACTCGATTGATCAATATAATATCGAGTTTCCTATGAAAATAACGAAAATCGATTTTTTTTTGTTTTGGTGATGGATGGTCCCGAAAGGAAAACAATTGCAGTAAATTCAACATTTGTTCTTTATAATAAATATATATATATTTATTTATTTATTTAATGTTTAACAATTCTTTTTAATACCATACCATTTCATCAAAAAAGGTTTGCAAGGTTAATATGAATTCACTTTTATAATAATTCCAACTTTATAAATAATTTATACCATTTCACTATTATAAATATTACTTCATTCTGCTTTCATCTTGTCATTGTCCTAAAGAATAAAAATATGTTAATGACACTAATATAATTAAAGTAAATTCTAAATTTATTTTAATTTTTTTGTGAGTGTGATACAAAAGTTTTCTGTTATTTTATATTTTTCTTTTAAATCTAGTTCATTTTATAGAAACAGCCAAAAAAGATTTCTGTTGGATAATATTAAAGTATTAAAGTTACTTTTATGAAATGTATAAAATACTTTGGCTGTTAAAAATTACTGCATCAATGCACAAAGTGCTCTGTAAGTTATTTTTAATGAACTAAAATTCTTGGATTGTACATGATGTTGCTCTTTGACAATTGTAACCAAATTTCAAGTATGCTAACTTGTAAGAAGGATATGAGATTGTGTGCATTTTTGCTATACATAACTTTTGCTTTATTGTATTTTTGGTAAATTCTTTTATTGTATGAAAAAAAGATTTAAAATGTTTAGAAGTTTCTGAAAATTTTTAATTATTTATTTACAAGGGGAGTTATGATGTGGTCCTTGGGGTTTAAATAATACTATTTTTGTGGATGAGTCTTGGTACAAACCTTTGTTAAGCATAGGGTGAAAGTGCACTTTTCAAAATCTTTCAAGAAAATCAGTTAAATAATTCTGAATTACTTAAGTGTAAGTTTTGCAAAACCACTCATTGAAGACCATATAGTTTGGTGGCAGTATGCTTTACTCGTATTTGTGAGGTGCCAGTGTTTTTTTGTAATCAAATGCAAAAATTATTTTTCATGAGGAATTCTATTTGACAAACACCAAATAATTTTTTCAAATATTTGCTTTCCACATTGTATGAATGAATTACCATAAATATATGTAGGATATATGCCAATATCTTTCAACATTAATCTATATAATGCTCAGTTATATTCTACTAATTACAAGTGGTCTTGTCATTTGGATAACTCACTCTTATGGATATCAAAATATCATAGATGAATCACTTTTCATATACCAAAAGTGGCAGACACACCAAGCTCTCTTATGGTGACTTTTTCTGCTATTTTTGTTTAGATAACAATAAAAATTAATTTTCAAAAATTATTTGTATGTCTGCTTTTTGTTTAATCTCTTGTTTTAATGTTTTATGTATTGTAATAAAAGTAAAAATTTCACTTAAGCAAACTTATAATTTTTCTTCTTGGAGTTCATTCCCTGAAGGCTATTTATAACATGCAACATTTGACTCTCAGATATATGATCTTGTACATATTTTTAGGAACAATTTATGGCTAAAACTTAGGGTCTGCCTATAATATACATGTTATTAAGTGTTATAAATTATTGTTGCTGATAGAATAACTTGTAATCCAAGAAAACTAGCTAAGTATATTGTTTAAGAAATATTACACTAGAGAAAGTCAAAATAAAAAATACATTGAGAATTTATGGACCTATTCTGTTTTTTCTCTGTTCAAACAGTTCAAGATTCATCCAATGACAGATGACTATTTATAAAACTTAACTGATTTATCAAAGACTAATTTGTCTAAAATTTAATTTAGAAAATATCTGAATTTTTTAGGCCGATATCCTTGTCCATGCAGCTTATGGCTCCAGCAAAGATATTTGGGTTTATACTTCCATAGGATTGAAACCAGATAAAATATTCATTGTTGGTAAAGTTTCTAAAAAACACCATGCTCTATCTACAGTAAGTAATGCCATGGTATTTATATATTGTATTTTTTTAAAGTGTTTTTTGTATATACAAAATCTCAATTGTTCTAGGTACTGAGTGATGGTTATGCAGCTCATCTAACTGACTTAAAAGCTCATGGGGGATCCAGGGCTGCCAAAGGTAATGCCAGAATGGTGCTACCCAGAGGATATTTCGGCATGGGTAATCAGATGGGTGGAGGCCTGAGACACCGTCACTCTGCCAAAAGGACCACCTCCTATCCCCTGTCAGCACAGATTGGTGAAAGAACCATTCCTCCAAATATCTCAAGTAAAATCTGATCACTTCATTAGTTTCACTTTATTCATCAAAAGAAAAACTCGCTCATTAGTAACAGGTATCATCTGCATTATAGTACAATGATCATGGCCTGTGGTTATCGATATATACATATATAAAAAAAGATCAGGGTTTATTTTATAAATTAACAACAACAATAATAAAAGCTTCCACCATTTGTAAAAATGATTTTTCTATTAAGAAATTTCATTTAAAAAAAAATGCTAATTCTTGAAACATATTTCCAATGAGTTGTTAATTATTTGTTGCTGTGAATTAAAATAATTGTTTGACATGCAATTAGTTAAATTAGTTTTCAAACATTAAAGAGTAATCATGCTCGAACACAATTTTCCTAATGTTGTATATGGATATTTGTATAAAAATTATTTGTGCATTCTACAATTTTTAAACAAGCATACACACACACCATAAAATATTACTGTATATGTTTACATTCATATATATATATATATTATATAAAATATAAATTCATATGTATGCTCTATGACTTATATATCTATATATTTATATACTTAATGCATATATATATATAGTTAAATGCTGTGTATAAATATATATGGTATATATACACAGTGTACATATACATATAATTTATTAAGCGGGCGAAAGATTTCGCATTGTTAGCAAAATCTGACGACGACCAAATGCAATGACTGTGATGTGAATATTGTTTACTTTTAAATCTCGTCTATCATCTATTAAGAGTCACAGAAAAAAAAATCATCTAGCTTCAAAATGTGTGCATAATTTTTATAGTTTTTCTTATGATACATAATGTTATGAGAAGCTTTTCAATGTATTTAATGTAATATACAGCTATTTATTTATTAGATATATATATATATATATATTGATATTTTGATCGGCAATACCATAAAAGTATTTGTTAATGCGTAGCCAAATTGTGTGAACATAATAAATTATTGTTATGCAAATCTGTGTGTTTCTGAATTCAAAACATTACAATGGTTGACCAATTTTTAGGGTATCCAGTGTAAAGATTATACACGGTGCAGTGCCAAAATCTGGACAAAATTCAATTTCAAATTCCCGCCATTCTATACCATTGGTAGATGTCGTGTTTGGCATTCAAATATCTTGACACATGTACTAAACTATCATAACCTCAAAACAGTCGCAATGTTGAAACCAAGTGCAGAGTATAAATATAACCGAAGAGCTGCGATTATCAAAAGTGTTCGCGCTGGGTGCTCGGCAACAGAAATCATTCAGTTCTTCGGGTACCTGAGATCACTGTGTATGATGTTGTTGCAAAGGACAATGAGTCGGAGAAGTCCAATGAAGGTTTTACAACACTGGCAAGGAAAACTCACTCAAAGGAGTGCGTTGTCAGGACGCCTGAAATCATTCAACAGGCTTGGAAACTGATTTTTGAGGATCCAGGTCAGTTGATCTGAAAATTGTCGTCGGTTGTTCATGTGAGCAAGAAAACTATGTATAGAATCGTCTACAAGTCTTACACAATTAAAATGAGTCATTTGGTCCAAAATTGATTTTCGGACAACATTGACATATTTGATCAAAAGAATTCTGGCCTCCCAACAGCCCAGATTTGAATTATTTGGACTTCTATGTATGGAGCGTAGTTGAAAGGGTCACAAGCAACGTTTGGATGTCTGGACTTGTATCATTGATAGCTGCCATTGATGAGATTGATGAGGCATTCACCGATGTGGACTGTGACACATTAAAGCGTGCCTGTACATGCTTCAGACAACAGTGGAGGCAGTCATTCAAGCATGAGGGGGATAGATTGAGTAAAGGTAGTCTTTATGGCCTTACAAACAATGTGGTTAAAAAAAAATTTGTAAACCTTTTTGCTTTTTGCAATAAAAAATATGTTTGGAAAAAATGTAATTTGTATGGATTTTGGCACCACACCCTGTAGTAGTAGTAGAATAAGACTGCTTTGAGTTTCTCTGCTGTTTTAAGTGGTGGTCATGCAGATCTGCCATTTCAATCAATTTTCCTCAGTGGCAAAATCTTGCTTCATTTTTCAAAGTTTATCTCTGACAATGCACCATAGATCTTAGTAAAATCAATGAAAAGTATATGCTGTAATTGTGCATATGCATACTCAAAGTACTACTCCATAAGCCATAAGCTATCTAATAAGGAAGATTTGGTCTGTTGTTGCAGTTTTGTTTAAAACTGCACTGCTAATCTATAACTGCATCCATATAGTGTGAGAGAGTCTTTGTAGGATTACATTTGAGAGAATTTATACGCTGAGTTAAGAAGTGTTGTTGTTGTTAGTCTTATTTCTTCTGCAAGGGCACAAAATTATTTTCTTTCACTGAACAAGTTTTTTCTTCTCTGTATATGCACTATTAGTTCTTCACTATTTATATGAGCTTAATTCACATTAGATGTAGGAAGGACAAAAGACACAACTTACACTATCGCATTTATTTTGACAGTAGGGTAGCTTTACACAGGATTGCAAAGTCTGATAGCCGCTTAAAACTCATCCATCTCATACACCACATTCTCAAACACTTAGATGACAACATTAGAATAGATTTCCAATGGGTCCTGGGTCATGCAGGGGTTCTCAGCAACGAGACTGCTTGTCAAACAAGCTGCAAAGTCTTCAATCACTAGTACTTTCAGTTACATTCCTACCTTGTACATCAACAATCACATCAAGAAGCAAATCTTCATTCTCTGGCAAGACAGCTGGGGACTGTGACACCACTGGTAGGCTCACCTACACTTTCATCCCCAAGGTTGATAAGGTTGATACTACTGCAATTGTTCGCCACTTTTACCCTAGTTACACCCTCACTCAGCTACTTACAGGACATGGCAACTTTAAGCAATACTTGCATAGATTTAACCATTTAACCCTGGGAACAATCCAGAATGCGATTGTGGTATTCAGGAAGACCAAACACCACTTCACCTAGTTTTTTGCTGCAATAGGTACAATCACATTAGGGATAGTTTAATGAGAGCTGCTATTCTTGAAGGCCTTGCAACCCGCACCAACTCATTCACACACATACAATGTTCCATCATCTACTCGCTTTTATATCCCTTAGTGGGGCCCTTGAGAGCACTCGCTCTGGGGAAACGGATGGCAATTAGCTTTCCCTTGCTTTGTTTCAACTGTCGGTATATATCTGCTTTCAACTTTGTATTTTAATTCTTATGTTTCATCGTCTTTTCGGTCTAAATTTGGTTAGTTCAAGTTAGTCGTAGTTGTAAGTTAGATTAGGGACTCTTAGCTTGATTTCTGGTTAGGTTCGTCCTAGGTTATGGTAGGTTCGTTTAATTAGTGAGTAAGTTAATGTTTAAAAAAATAAAAAATAAAATAAAAAAATAAAATAAATTAAATTAAATTAAAAAATAATAATAAATAAATATATTAAAAAAAATTTTGGGGTCTTGCATGTTTGTCTTTTGTCTGTCCGTTTGTCTCGTCTAGTTTGTTGTTGTGTTCGTTTTTTTTTTTTGCACTGTCTGTCTAGCTGTTAAGTAATATTAAGATTCTCACTCATGTTTAGTTTCATTAGCATTAAGTAGTTATAACTTCCTACTAACAGCCACTTGGCACTAACTTCTACACTTAGCAATTTGTGGCGGCACTGGATCTTTGATGTTCGCTATACTCGGGTTTTCTTTTTTAGGCTGCAATGCCGTAATCCCCTAAAGGGTCTCCTTTGGGGTACTATGGTCTTGCAGCCTAAAAACTGCATGCCAACATCAAACAGAGGGTACTGTAGCCATACATATGCCATTCAGAGGGATCCTACCTTTCTCTACTATCTAGCTCCTCTCCCTCCTCCTTCCCCTCCCCTTTCTCTTACCCTCTTTTCTGCTGGCTAAACACTTCTTGTACGGCCGAAGTATTTTTTGTATGTATGTATTAGTTCTTCACCACCTCTCTTAATCAGCTCTGCTAAAATGTTGTTACTGTTTGTTGCCTTATTGTTTTTAGGCTTCTCAATACTTGTTATAACTTCTTCATGGATAGGTTTCATAATTTAACATGTGTTTCTTCTCTGTCCTGTGTATTCTGTTTCCCTTTAGTACTAACATTAAATAATTCGTAATTATTTTGTCACTTGTTATTAGAATGTTACGATCTTATCCTGTATCATCATATTCTTTGGCTGGTAGCCTGATTTCCATTTGTTTATTCCTTTATAAAGTTGTCTAAAGTACCTATTTTATTTTCCTGTTTCTGTTATACAGTATATCACAGAGAAAAAGTATGGTGATTGGTCAAAAGATAACCCCAAGATTTTTACATTTTTTGACTTGGAACTTTGAAACATTGAGAAATGCAAAAAAATTCAGAGGTTTTTTTCTGTGTGGGTGGCACAATTTTGTTTACCCTCTTTGAAGCTTAACTCCTGTGCTTTTTGTCAAAAATTTCTGAAATTTTGCAAGGAGGTTTTTGTATTGGGGATTGGTTTTTAAATTTTGGTGGTTAAAGGTTGGGCAGGATGGGGAGATAAAGGGAGATCGTGTGTCATATCTCAAGTAGGATCAGACTTGATGATTTTACTCATTATTAGCATTTACAGTTTTTTACAAAACCCATCCCTACCTTCAAAATTAAGCTTTTTGCCATTTAATAATAATTAAAAATATATTTTACTAGCTGTTACCCGCGACTTTGCCCATGGGGGTTTTGTAAGCAAACCCCTTTTATATTCAGTATTTCAACAACCATAGTAATTGTTGTATAACACCTACCGCCGAGAATGATGAGAATTGCCGAGAATCAAACAAACAATTTTCAATTTGATCAATTTTCTGGAACGTTTACAATCGTTCTATAATCGAACCGATACGCAATAACAAATTTGAATCTAAAAAGGTTTGAACATTTGGTTAAAAAATCGAAATATATAAAAATATTTATAACAATGTCTGAAATGTTATAATTTAATACACCTAAGTACTTAATGAAGACTAATCGTAACAAAAAATCACATGCGAAATAGTACAGTAGAAGCCATTCTTCCTGTTAAGCCTTAATGCTTTCCCTCTCCCCCCGCTGGGGAATTTCGAAAAATCCCTTCTTCGTGTGCATTGCCATGGCGTACCCAACTAAAACGTTTAACATTTTTCGAATGGTGTGGGGCGTCATAACACCATTTATATTTATTATTTCAACAACCATAGTTATTATGTAATTTATAACAATCCAAATGTATAAAATTATTGCATTAAACATACCCCTTATTACTGAGAATCTTCTAATTCAATCGAACGTTTTCAATCTGACCAATTTTCTAGAACGTTTGCAATAATTCTATAATCGAACAAATATGCAGTAACAAATTCGAATTTAAAACGGTTCGAACATTTAATTAAAAAATCGTAATACGTAAATATAGTACATTTGGAAATTAAGTTATTACCACCAGAAACA